GTGTGTGTGTGTGTGTGTGTGTGGGGGGGGGGGGGTTAGACTTTTGACTAAATATAATTTAATGTCTGATTAAATACTGTATGAAAAATAAAATTATGTTTTTTGCACGGGTTCATATCAGATTTAATTCAATATCTGTAAAACTGAGTAAGTTATGGTTGGGTGCAAAGTTGTGCTGGGGATCTTGAATTGAGTCCACTCCAAATTTGAATCAGTTTAAGACATGCATTAAATTAAAACTTTTGGAAAGTTTTATTAAAATCCATCCACTGGTTCATGAAATATTTTGGTAACGGACAGACAAACAGACACACACAGCCAGAACCATTCTTGTCTGCCTTTCCTTATTGACTCTGGGCAATAATACAGTATATGAATTTGGCATCTTTAATTCTGCTTGTATTTAAGCAAAACTGCCATAAGCACATGTTTCCATTTTAACACAGTAAAATGTGCTCATTAGTATGGAGTATCAACATAATTGAGATTAAGACAATAAATAAATAAATGGCCCAATAAATAAATACACTTAAAATGCACCAATTCATTAGAAAAAAAATAATTTTACCCCATGTTTTATAATTAAATTAATCATATTTGTTTTTCCAGTTTAGTTCAAACAAATTATATATTTTTGCACATATTCAAAATGTTACTGTTTTATGTTTTTGTTTTTCCTTGTACTTGTGGAATGGGTTGGGGCAGGAATTTTACTTGAGGATGCATTGTGCATGCAAAACGGAAAAAACGTAAAAAAACTACACATGTAAACTACACATGAGAATAAAAAGACACAATTTAATAAAGTTGTTCTAATGACACAGTACACTAAAATGGACTGTTGTTCCCATAACTAGTTGCTAAACTGAGGCAGCCCAGGTATGCACATGGATCCTGCTACTTCCTGTCTATTGATCAGAAGTAGACGAGCTGACCCAAGAAGGGCAGCCCTCATTAGCATAATGAGGCAGAAATGAATAAGGTAAATTAAAAGCAGGAGAGAGAATTTTAAAAATATATGGAAATAAAAATACTTGTAAAAAAACAATAAAATAAATACATAAAAATACACAATTGTATTCACAAGTAAAAGGAAAAACACAAAAAATATATGCTTAAACTGTTTTTTGGAACTACGCCAGAAAAATAAATATGACGGTCAATTAACTTATAAAACATTAGGTAAAATTCTACATTTTGAGCTAATTTGTGTATTTTAAGTGTATTTATTTGTTTATATTTTGGGTCATTTATATATTTCTTCTTTTATGTCAATTGTGGTCCTCCATACCTCAGAACAATCGTTGGAACAGGACTGCGCGATTAGTAGTTTTCGGAACTTTTCGGCTTTTTCCGACACCACCACTTCGTCACCTCCATTTTATTTGTGTGTGTGTGTGTGTGTGTGTGTGCGCGCGCGCGTAGACAGTCGGTCGCGGAACGGGAGCACGAGCGGATACACTGAAATTGCTACAGAAATGGACGGGTAATATATTTGTTTTTTATATGAATATATGTGCTATTTAAAGACAGTGAAACTCAGTTCGCATTATTCGACACTCACTGACGTTTTAGGACATAAATGTAGGCTGAGTGAAATCAGGAAGAAGAGTCGCGAGCTTCTGTTTCCATAGCCACGCGCTCTCCTCTCCTGAGGAAGTGCGTCTGTGTTAGCATGCTACTGTTGTTTAGCTCACTCGTATGTTTATAAACGCTGTCAATAGAAAACATGGCGACTCCATGAAGGGCGAAAGTGCTCACAGTTGGMTTCGGTGCCGTTCTTTTTGCAGTAATGCCGTCGACGCTAATAAAGTTTAACAATAAACTACACCCATCCTTTTGCTCAGTGGCTAACCAGCGCTAGCTGACAACAGTCCCAGTTGTACACCACTTGTGAATAACCGGATATGTAAATAATTACCATTAATTAAGCCTTTGATGTTGAACATTCCCACTTAAAGCAGAGATGTCCAGTCTTTATGGAAAATAATAATAATACAACCAAGTTTAAGTAAAGGCAGTTTTATCTTGGATCTTATGCTTTGGCTATATTCTATAATTAAAAAGCAAACAAGTAGAGTTTATGTTGTGAAACTTTATTTTGTATTTTTAAAGGACAGTAATAAGTAAGTAATCAACACTTTCTTATTTTGGATTATATAGACATAAATCTCTCATTGCCTTTCATGCCAGGGTTTCAGACTAAATTCGTCTGATGAGAAATAATGGTGTTGTTGTCGTCTTCGGTCAAACTTGTAAATAACATCATGAGTGCGATCTTGTGATATTTTGCATGAGCTTACATAATTTATTAGCACAACTATGTGTTGTGAGTGATTCTTAGCTACTACCACACCAAACTTTAGCCTAATATCTGTCAGCACACATTTACCTGCAGTGTGAATGTAGTCTTTGTGTTCTCAGTGTACCTGAGCTTGTCTTATGACCCACTATGTGAGGTGTAGTGTTGAATCTAGAGTGTAGCATTGTCACAACAACTCAGAGTTGACAGTAGCTACAATAGAGCTGAGCAGCAGTGTTTTCTATAAAGAAGCTTTCTTCTTTCAGATGCCTGCAGCTCAGCCGTGAGCGTGTGTAAATTTGTGTGTACTGTTTTAAAATTTTTTGTTTTGACCTCRATTAAAATGTCTCTTTCAGCATCAGCGACGTTACAGTTGGAGTGAAGGTGAGTGTTATCACGTGATGCTTTTGGTTCATTCATTTATTTAGGTTAATGTTTGTGTGTTTGTTACTAAATATCTCTACGACACGACACCAGTGACACGACTGAAGAACAACAGATTTAATTATGACCATTTCAAACTGAATGTTAGTTTAAAAAATCATTTATTCATTATGTTCACACTGTACCGCTTATATATAT